TTTTTTGAGATGGAGTCTCGCTCTGTCACCCAGGCTGGAGTGCAGTGGCACGACCTTAGCTCACCGCAACCTCCGCCTCCCAGGTTCAAGCGATTCTCCTGCCTCAGTCTCCCAAGTAGCTGGGATTACAGGCATGTGCCACCATGCCCAGCCAATTTTTGTATTTTTAGTAGAGACGGGGTTTCACCATGTTGGTCAGGCTGGTCTTAAACTCCTGACCTCAGGTGATCCACCCACCTCAGCCTCCCAAAGTGCTGGGATTACAGGCATGAGCCACTGCACCTAGCCCATTTTTTTTTTCCCAAAGGTCTGGCTAGAGCAGTGGTCCCCAACCTTTTTGGCACCAAGGACCAGTTTTGTGGAAGACAATTTTTCCGTAGACTAGCCGGGATGGTTTGAGGATGAGTGAAACTGTTCCACCTGAGAGCATCAGGTCTTAGATTCTGACAAGGAGCGCTCAACCAAGATCCCTCGCATGCGCATGCGCAGTTCGCAGTAGGGGGGTCACACTCCTAAGACAACCTAACACTGCCTGATCTGACAGGACGCGGGGCTCAGGAGCTAATGCCCGCCCACCCACCACTCATCTCCTGCTGTGTGGCCCGGCTCCTAACAGGCCACGGACCAGTACCCATCTGTGGCTTGACGCTTGGGGACCCCTGGGCTAGAGGTTTGCCTTGGGAGGCCTCACCTGACCCACCTGACCCAATTCTAGCCTGGGTGTGAGAGCACTTCTGCCTTGTTCCAAGAGCCGAGGCCAGTGTGAGCAGAAGCCCATCCTTCTCTCCCAACCTGCCTCTGCTCACCGGTCCTCTCCTCTCCCCGACTCCCTTCTCCACCTCACCCGACTGGCACTGGCCGGCATAGCAGAAGTGTGCTTAAATATTCTTAGTCTTCAGAACCGGCCGTGGGGTAGGCGCTATTTTCCCACTTTGCAGATGAGAAAACTGGGGCTCACAGCAAGTAGGTGACCTGCCTCAGATCACACAGCTAATTAATCTTCTAATGACTTTCCAAATGAGAGGCTGCCTCCCTCTGCCCCTCCCCACTTAGAGCCACCAGGTTGTACAACTCCAGGGGGTGCTGTTTGCACAGAAAACAATGACAGCCTTGATCTTTCACATGTCCCCACCATGTCACTCCTTAGGCCCATGGATACAAACATCAGATGTGACCTGGAGACAGCAGAGTTAGACTTGGCTGGGGGTCCCTGTGAGGGTATCCCTTGTCCCAGGGTGGCAGCCGTGGGTGATTCCTGCCTGAGATCTCTGGACTGTTGTCAAGTGAAGTTGAGAGGGTGGCTGGGAGAGCCAGTGAGGACATGGGTGTGGGTCCCATGTTGCCTACAGAGGAGTTCTCATGTCTTCCCCACCTCCATTGCTTCTCCTTACTGATTTAGGGACTGGGTGACCGATGGCTTCAGCTCCCTGACAGACTACTGGAGCACCATTAAGGGCAAATTCTCTAGGTTCTGGGATTCGAACCCTGAGATCGCAGCTCCGGCCGAGGGTGTCTGAGACCTCAATTCCCCAAGTCGACCTGCCTGTCCATCCTGCCAGCTCCTTGGGTCCTGCAGTCTCCAGGCTGCCCCCACAGGTTGCTTAAAAGGGACAATACTCTCAATGCCCTCCCACCCCCTCCTCATGCCTGGCCCCCCCAGGCATGCTGTCCTCCCAATAAAGCTGGACAAGAAGCTGCTATGAGTGGGCCGTTGCAAGTGTGCCATCTGTGTCTGGGCATCGGAGAGGGCCAAGGCTGTTCTGTGGGTGGGCACTGGCCAGCATTCTGTTCACTTCCTGTAGCTGGGTGATCTCTGCGCCTCAGTTTCTTCATCTCTAAGGGAGGAATCACTCTCCGTACCCTGCCTTCCTTGACAGGTTTATGTGGAAGGTCAAACAGGACAATACATTTGCTGATACTTTGATAAACTGTTAAGTGCCGCTCAACATGACTTGAGTGGCTGCCCTATGCCAGCCACTATGCCTGGCACTTAAGCCCTCATCGGAGTTGAGACTGTGTGCTCACTCAAAGCTGTGGAGCTGACTTCCCCTACCCAGGCCACCTGGCCTTCCTAGGTACAGGTGAGGGGAGGAGGCCGGATGGGCTCGTGGCTGGAGTAAGATGCAACGAGGCGCTAGACTTGGCTCCACCACTTGACATCAGCCTCGGTTCCTTACATGTAAAATGGGTACAATAGTACACACTGCAGGTGTGTCATGAGATTGAAATGAGAGAGTGTTCAAACCGTTTGGCACAGCCCCTGCATGTGAAGATGCCTGATAAATGTTGTCATCATTATAGTTGAGCTGACTGGGCCCTTGGGACCCAGCTTGGAGTGGCAGGGGGCAGTGTCCTGGGATCTAAAAAGGAGCACAATGTCACCCCAACAGAGGCTGCCTTCGTGTCCCCACCACCTGAAAGATGTCAGGCCAGAGAGCTCTAGAGCTGCAGATGGCTTGAGTAGGCCTCCATTCTTCAGATGAAAAAACTGAGGCCCAGAGAGGTGAACGCAGTTGCCCAGCATCACAGAGCCAGCACGTGGCAGGGCCAGACCTTGAGCCCAGGTCAGCCGCGTGCATTCTGCTCAGTTGATGCAGAAAACAGTTTTGTCACTTCTATGTCAGGTGTTAGGGGCTCCTTTACAGGTCTCAGTGGCGTCAGTACCTCCTGCCCCACCTGGAGACTGCTTTCTCTCTGGAAATTCCCTAGGGCTTCTCTCTGGACCGAGAAATCTCAGCACCCTTATCTGGAAAATGCTCCCACCCAGACCTGGCTGGCTGCCTGCTGTTGTAGCTCTGAAAGATTAGGAACTACAGAGCTAACTCCTTTTTCCAAAGGGGTAGCTACGATACACTGGAGATTGCGACATGGGGATGGGGCCTGCATGAGGGGCCAAAAGGTCCTGCAGAGACAGGGCAGAGAAGGCTCTACGGGTACACTGCCCAGATCTGTGGAGCCATGTGCACACACGTGGGGACATTCAGACATGAGTGCAAAGAGGGACTGTGAGCAGGGAGGTCATGTGAGGCTATGTAAGCATGCCTGCACACCCATGTGAACTTGAGTGCTAGGCCACACGCTTCTTTTTTTTTTTTTGAGCCAGAGTCTTGCTCTATCATCCAGGCTGGAGTGCAATGGGACGATCTCAGCTCACTGTGACCTTCGACTCCCGGGTTCAATCGATTCTCCTGCCTCAGCCTCCCTAGTAGCTGGGATTACAGGTGCAAGCCACCATGTCCAGCTAATTTTTTTGTACTTTTAGTAGAGACAGGGTTTCACCATTTTGGCCAGGATGATCTTGAACTCCTGGCTTCAAATGATACCCACCTCTGCCTCTCAAAGTGTTGGGATTACGGGTGTGAGCCACTGCACGCAACCCACACATTCTTAATAATCATGGATGTCCAGGAGTGCAGGGTCTAAATAGGGCTGCCTAGCCGATCGTCCTACTGTTCGCTGTGCAAGCGACGTCCCATCTTCAGGCTTCAGCATCCTCATCCATGCTGTGTCTCTGATGGCAATCTAGCCAGGATGCGGGGAAGGGAGGATGCAGTGAGATCACAGATATGAGAGCATCTTGGAAATAAAAATGTACCTGCAAGGGGTGGTGGTGATTTTTCTGACTCAGGTCAGCTTCTGTCAGAGCTAGCAGAAAGACGGGGTGGCACCGCATGGACCTGCAGGGGGTGGAGGGCTGGCTTCCACTGCTGTGCCTGAGGATGCTGTGGCTATTTCTAGGTGGGACAGGAGGAGTGGGAGGGGAGATTGTGAAAAGAAAAGGGAATTGTTTGCTTGAGAGGTTTTTGAATTAACACAGGAGTATAGGTGCAAACTCCAAGCACTTCACTTGCACCTGGCCTAACCTCTGTCCCAGTGGCTCCCTGAGGCCGCTGTACCCCCACTCCACGGAAAGCGGCTCCGTGTGGGAACACCTCTGGGACCGGGAACCCACTGCTCCCAGCTAAAGTAACCCTGTTTCCTGGCCCACCTCGGACAGGGCTGCAGGCCTCGTCTGAGCCTCTTTCAGGACATTTGGCCTTGGATTGTCTGTGGCTTTGCGTGGTCCGCTGTGACTTCCTGTCTACATACTTGAGCCTTGCTAAGGCAGACTCTACTCCCTCCCTCATAAGCAGCCAGGCCTCCAGCAGGTCCTCCAGCGTCGATCTTGGCCCTAAGAGGCCCACTCTGGGCACGGAGTTGTTGAGATCCGGCTGGAAGTCCTTGTGCCAGGGCCAAAGGCCCCACCCGGGCTCCCCCGATGTCCCCGACCCTCCCCCCCGGGCTCCCCAAATGTCCCCGACCCCCACCCCGCCCCCTTCATTCTCCCGAAAGAAAGAAGCTGCTTCCTACTTTGGAAACGTTTATTCTGAGCACCGGGAAGGAGAGCGGCGGCTGGCGCCTCACTGGGAGCTCAGTTTCTTGGCGTACTCCTCGAGCGCGCTCAGGAAGCTGACCTTGAAGCTCTCCAGCACGGGCAGCAGGCCCTGGCGGAGATCCTCGAGCGCGGGCTTGGCCTTCTCTCCGAGCGCGCTCAGATGCTCGCTGGCCTTGGCGTGGTACTCGGCCAGGCTGGCGCCGCCGCTCTCCTTGAGCACTTCGAGGCGCGTGGCCAAGCGCTGGCGCAGCTCGTCGCTGTAGGGTGCCAGTTGTGTGCGCAGCGTGTCCACGTGGGCGCGCGCGCGGTCGCGCACCTGCTCTGCCAGCGGGCTCAGCTTCTCCTGCAGATCCTGCAGCTTCTGGAGTGCGCCCTCCTGGAACTCCGTGCGCAGCGGTTCTAACTTCTGGGAGTAGAGCTTCACCTCCTCCTGCCACTTCTTCTGGAAGTCGTCCAGGTAGGGCTGCACCTTGGCCTTCACCTCCTCCAGATCCTTGCTCATCTCCTGCCTCAGCCACCCTGTCTCCTTTTCCAGGTTATCCCAGAACTCCTGGGTCACCGGGCCGAGGTCTTCGCGCAGCTTGTTGACAGTGGAGGTCAAGCTGTCCCAGTTGTCCAGGAGCTTCAGGCTGGAGTGGGAAGCAGAGGGGTTGAGGGCTGGTCTCCCAGCGCCCCAGCCAACCCGGGGTGAGTCCTGGGCGACACCTGTCCACGAAGGTGCAGTGGCCTAGAGTTTCCAGTACACTCTCAACCAACACCTCTGCCCTGCCATGCCATGCCCCGTTGTGCAGCTGGACCGAGGCACAGAGAGGAGCTAAGAAAGAGACAGAGCTGGGACTGGTGCCCAGTTCTCTGGTCTCCAAAATGGGCCCTTGAAGGACCTCACCTCTCTGCCTACAGCACATTCTCCTCTCCCAAGGCAGCCCACACTTTTGCTGGGCAGGAGCAAAGGAGGTGACGAAGGGCAAGGGTGCTGCTGCACTTGTAGGCACAAGCTGGCATTGTTACCACGGATTGGGCAGCCCTGGTCTGTTCTTTGCAGGGGGCATGGGCTGTGACCCTGCCCAGGGTTCCCATTCCGGTCTCTCCATCCAGACCATTTGTAGGGCCCAGCTCCTCAGATAGTAGGTGAGGATGCACCAGTCTGGATTCAACATCTTCCCACAGGCCTCTGCCCCCTGCCCCTGCCCTCAACCCCAGGCTGGGTCCTTACTTTAGCTGTTTTCCCAAGGCGGAGCTTTCAAACTGGGACACATAGTCTCTGCCACTGTCTTTGACTGAATCCACGTACACAGTGGCCAGGTCCTTCACTCGATCCCAGGGGCTCTGGGGGGGTTCATCTTGCTGCCAGAAATGCCGAGCCTGGCTCCCTGGGGGTAGGAGGGGAGACTCAGATCAGGCCAGCTGTGGGCTGGGATCTGAGCCAAAAGGCCAGGCTTGGAGGTGGGAGAGAGGGGGCCAGTGAGAAGCCTGCTGCCTCTGCCCAGGAGGGTGAGCCAAAGGGGTTTAGGGAGAAAGCCCCCCGATAATTGGTTCCATAGGCTGGGGGACACCTACCCGTCAGGAAGAGCACGGCCAAGGTTAGCACCGCAGCTTTCATCCTGAAAGGCTGTGGGGGACCTGGAGGAGAAGAAGAGCCTGGCTGAATGGCAGTGGGAGTGGTGGGTCTCTAGCATGCAGAAGCCCCGTGCTCCCCCACTCATTACAGCCATGTGAGGAGAATGGGCACAGAGTGGGAGAAGACCTCAGGTTCCCAGAAGCCTGGCTTGGGGCAGAGCCTGAACCTCGATGCCTCGAGCTGGGGAGCCAGAGTCACCCGGGACAGGCAGCAGCACTCACCTCCTTCTTGGGCGGGCAGAAACACTCACCTCCTTCTCGAAGTCTAAGTAGCCAGCTCTCGCAGGGGCAGAGCCTATTTATGTCTTCAGCCAGGGGCTGGGCAGGGAGACAGATAAGCCCAGCCTGGTCCCTGCTGCTGCTCACTGGTCCTGGCGATGTGGAACTTGAGAGTTCAAGGATCAGCTCTGTCCCTGGGGCTGGGCAAATAGAGTGGGCAAACAGCGAGCTGCGGGGGCTGCAGGACAGGGGTCAAGGGTTGAGTGGGGCCGGGAGGGGAGTGGCTGCAGGCTTGCAGGTCCCAGGGGTGGGGTCGGGGTTCCCTGCACTCATCCCCTTCCCCTCCATGGGAGTGTGTGGGCGGTTGCCATTGTCCATTGTGCTGGCAGAGGGGAGGGGAGGGACGCTGGGACTCCTCCACTCAGGAGACCTCCTCCCCCACCATCCTGCATTCCAGGGAGACTACATCACTCCCATCCCCCTTTCCCCACCCCTTCCTCCCACCACTGTGCTTCTTTAGTCCCCAGCAGGTCCTGCAGGCCTCTCTCGAAGCCCCCCAAACTGGTAAACCTGGGGAGAGGGGAGAGCGCTCTGTGGTACCCAGACTGAGGTTTCAGAGACCTCTTGCATTTCAAAACACACTAGAGACCAATTCAGAGCTGCCAACTTTTAACTTTGTCATATAAAGATATTGCCTGCCTCCAAAAACCTCCACCATCTACCATGACCATCACCTCGAAAAGGAAAGACTTTGGCAAAAAAAAAAAAAAGGGGGGGGGGAAGCATAACCTCAGAATTACGTTGCAGAGTTGAAGTCCCTTAGATTGAAGACACCTTCCTTTGCATTGTTCACACACTTGATCACGCGCAGGTGGGACGAGATCCCAGCCTTGGGGAAGCCCTGGTGTGGGGAGAAGACCTCATTTCACTCGGCCTCCATCTTGCTGGAGGAAGATGGTGGGCAAGTTATGTAATCTCTCTGAGCCTCAGTTTCCTATCTGCAAAATGGGGCAAGAATGGTCAGAGTTGGCCAGGCGTGGTGGCTCACGCCTGTAATCCAAGCACTTTGGAGGCCAAGGTGGGCTGATCACCTGAGGTCGGGAGTTCAAGACCAGCCTGACCAACATGATGAAACCCCGTCTTTAAAAAAAGAAAAAAAGAATGGTCAGAGTTGTTGGAGGCCCCCGAGACAGCCTGTGAATGTAAGTGCTGTGCGTCCATTGGTGTTTGCAGCACCATCTTGTAAGGTTTCTCCGGGAAGGCCCAGACCTCCCGCAGCAGGTTACTGACGGAACCTGAGTCCTAGAGTCCGTGATGCAGGCTGAGAGGACCTGTGAGACCACTCCAGCCTCTCCCCACGCCACCGTCTCACTGATGAAGAGACTGAAGAGCATGAAGGGACTTTGCCCAAAGGCTCTCATCTCTCAGGGAGTTAGAAGCAAGGCTGGACCTAGAACCAGTCTCTGGACTTAGGACACATGGCAGAAATGTACCCTGTACCATCAGTCCAGGAAACTCCCTAACTCTAGAAACCAGCCTGACATCGCTGTTTACCAGATTGGGGAGTGGTCGGCCTCGTGCCTTTTATTTCAGAGAAGATTCTGGAGCCAGAAAACATTAGATTTGATTCCCAGCTCTGCCACTTATTAGCTGTTTGACCCTGGATGAGCTGTGCTACGTCACCTCCCCACACATAGTTCCTGATTGAAGATAATGATAGAACATGCCATCGCCCTGAGTTATGGCAGGAATTACTGTGTGGACAACGCTGCCCAAGATGCTCACATCCTCATCCCTGGAACCTGTGACTTTGCTACCTTCCATGGCAAAAAAAGATTTTGCCAGTGTGATTAAGGACCTTGAGATGGGGTGGTTAGACTGGATTCTTCAGGTGGGCCCACTGTCATCGCAGGAGTCCTTAATTACATAAGAGGGAGGCAGCGGTGTCAGAGTCAGAGAAGGAGATGTGGGGATGGCAGCGGAGGTCAGACTTGTGACGGCTGGAAGAGAGGCGTGAGGGGGGGACATGGGCAGCCCTTTCCTAGAAGCTGCAGAAGGCAAAGACTTTTTCCCTGCAGCCTCCAAAAGGAGCGCAGCTCTGCTGTCACCATGATTTTAGCCCAGTGTGACCCATTTTGGACTTCTGACCTCCGTAACTGTAAGATAATATATGTATGTTGTTTTAAGCGTGAAATTTGAACATATATGCAAAACTGTTAGAAAGGTACCTAGCGCTTAGTAAATAGTAACTATTCTGTTTTCTAGAATCCAAGTTTCTGGTATTCTTTCCCTTATTCCCACTACACTCGCTTTACGGCGCCTGAGACCTCAGCTTCTGCAGCAGGCATGAAGGCAGGAATCCCACTTTGCTCTGCTTGGCCTTGAATTGCACTTGCTGAAATATGGGACATCTTTTCCAGGACTGAAGTGGCCCCAGATGTCTGTGGGACTGTGCAGAGAGGGAGGTGGCCTTAGTGAGCCGTCAGCCTGGGCTGCCTATTTGGCCATCCCAGCTGCCTGTAGCTTTAGAAAGTGGGAAGGTAGCTGGTTCCCTGCAGAGACAGCTCACAGATTTCTCAGGCCAAGAGAGTGTCCTTTCTTTTGGGGGTGAGAGTCTATCCCAGCCAGCACATGGGGGAGTCTCAGAAGCTTACTGGTTAGACTCCAAGATACTTGCCAGTGTTTTTTGTCTTTTGTTTTTTGAGGCAGAGTCTCACTCTTGTCACCCAGGCTGGTGTGCAGTGGTGCGATCTCGGCTCACTGCAACCTCTGCTTCCCGGGTTCAAGCCATTCTCCTGCCTCAGTCTCCCAAGTAGCTGGGATTACAGGAATGCACCACCATGCCCAGCAAATTTTTTTGTAGTTTTAGTAGAGACAGGGTTTCACCATATTGCCCAGGCTGGTCTCAGACTCTTGACCTTGTGATCCGCCCACCTCGGCCTCCCAAAGTGCTGGGATTACAGGCGTGAGCCACCGCGCCTGGTCCTACCTGCCAGTGTTTTTACCCTTTTCTTTGGTTTGTTACTAAAATGATTGTTATGGCTAAACCTAATATTTAACTTGTGCACAGTGCTTTAGTGGCCAAAGCACTTTCACAACTTAGAATGTCCCTGTCAGGCTGGAGGCCAGATTTTACTTTTGTCATTTTGCCTGTGGGAAAACTGCAGCTCAGAGCCGCCCTGCATCCTTCAGCTGTTAGTATTTCACGCTGGCAGGGGTGGGAATTGGGGAGGCCTGGCTTCTGGTTCTTTGAGGGTGGCCCTGCACCCTTGCAGAGCTTGCAGCTCCCTTTGTACTCCGTTCAGGGACTGCTGAATTTCCTGGCTCAGGGACTGCAAGGTATCAGGATGGGGGTGCTGTTGAACAGCATCTTACCAAGCAGGGAGTTCTTTGTTTTTATTTTTGTTTTTGTTTTTGTTTTGAGACAGAATTTTGCTCTTGTTGCCCAGGCTGGAGTGCAATGGCGCAGTCTTGGCTCAATGCAACCTCCACCTCCTGGGTTCAAGCGATTCTCCTGCCTCAGACTCCCGAGTGGCTGGGATTACAGGCATGCGCTACCACGCCTGGCTAATTTTGTATTTTTAGTAGAGACAGGGTTTCTCCATGCTGGTCAGGCTGGTCTTGAATTCCCAACCTCAGGTGATTTGCCTGCCTTGGCCTCCCAAAGTGCCGGGATTACAGGCGTGAGCCACTGTCCTTTTTAAAATATACTTATTCACCAGGAATGAAATTCACTTCATTTCATTGCAAGGTATTTGGCTGAAACTAGACCAAAGCCCATTTACTAATATTTTGGAAAGAAAGGAAGTCTTTCTGGACAGAGCCTATGGAAAAACTAACAACTGCCACCAACTGGGCTCGTGACAGACTCAGACTCAGGGTCTAGCCAGGCGTTGTTCGAGGCGCTAAGTGCCCATGGGTTGGGATGTTTAGTGGCTGTGGGGCCCCCATTATAGGCCCCTATTTCCACCCACTTCTTTCCCTTGTCTTGGGGGCCTCCACTGCTCCTGACATGGTCACCAAGTCCTGGCCCTGGATGCCCTGAAGTGTGGGAGTGTTGACAGCTACTGCAAGAGTGGATTTTGCACAGAAAGATTAGCGACTCCTTTCACAATTTATGCCCCAACATACTGGCCAGTCTGCACTGGGAGGACTCTGTCCCCTGCTAGGTCTGGCACATAACAGACACCCGCCAAACATCTGCTCAGTGAATGGCACCGGCACGCTAAACAGAGGGTCACCAGCCTGGTCATAGGGAGGCGTGGTCCTGGGAGGGGAGGCAGCCACATACCAGCCCCTGCTCAGAACATTTCTTCTGGGAGCATGTGGTGTGGGCTAGAATGAGACTCAGGGAGGGGAGGTGCCGACTAAGCAGGGAAGACAGGACCCCTAGCCCCAGTATTTCCTATTTGGCAATTTTGCTGCAGCTCTTGTGATAGAGCCCCAAGTTAGACCCTTGGGCGGGGCACTGTCACTAACTAAGCAAGATTCTCTCCTGCCCTCCTGCTTAGGGGACTAAGGCCAGGACAGAGCTTACCTTTGACCAGCAGGAGGGAGGCACAGTAGCCCTCTGAATTCTTGATCTTTGCAGCTGGTATGGGGTGGGGGCTGGCACAGTCAGAAAACTGGGTAGGAATCTGTCAGCACGGTTCCTGTTTTCTGGAGCTGAGCTCTCCAGTCTGTATCCAGGAGCCAGTGCTCTGCTTCCTCCAGAATCTCACCCTACCCCTGGCCCAAAGGCACCCTGGCTGATTTTAGGAGGGAGTGGCACTTATTGCAACAGGTGCTACAATTTGTTGGATGGCATCTGGGTGTGATCGCTGTTTGGGTCTAGAGACCCACCTAGTCTTGCATGACAGCATATATAGACTCAGGAGTTTCAGAAGAGCCTCCTTGAGAAGGCTCTTTTTATTCTAATTTAAATGGCTCTGCAGCCCCCCATGGACTTGAAGTCTTTCTTTTCTTCTTTGCAGGAGTGCAGTGGTGCGATCATGGCTCACTCACTGCAGCCTCAAACTCCTGGGCTCACACGATTCTTCAGCCTCAGCCTCCTGAGCAGCTGGGACCACAGGCATGTGCCACCAGCCTGGTTATTTTTTTGTAGAGGTGGGGTCTTGCTATGCTGCCTAGGCTGAACTCAAACCCCTGGGCTTACATAATTCTCCTGCTTCAGCCTCCTGAGCAGCTGGGATTACAGGCGCATGCCACTGTGCTCAGCTTCAAAGGCTTTCTAAATTCCCTCTCATTCTTCCTTCTGTGAACTCAGATGGTGTTTCCAGCTTCAGTGAGTTTTCTTCATACAAGACCTTCAACCAGCTGTCTCTTAGCCATGCCCGGGACCTTGCTGGAAACTCTACCCTGCCCTTTGGAGTTCAGGTGTAGAAAAAGGAGAAAACTATAGGATAATTCACCCCTGGCCTTTTTTTTTTTTTAAGATTCTTCCTCTGTTGCCCAGGCTGGAGTATAGTGGCACATTCTTGGCTTGCTGCAACCTCCTCCTCCTGGGTTCAAGCCATTCTCCTGCCTCAGCCTCCCGAGTAGCTGGGACTACATGCACATGCCACCATGCCTGGCTAATTTTTGTATTTTTGGTAGAGACAGGGTTTCACCACATCGACCAGTCTGGTATTGAACTCCTGACCTCAGGTGATCCACCTGTCTCGGCCTCCCAAAGTGCTGGGATTACACATGTGAGCCACTATGCCCGGCCCGTCCCTTTCTTTCCAAATATTTATTTAGCTATACTCTCACTAGGCCAACAAGGGTCACATCTTAAAGCGTCCAGCCTGTGTCCACTCTTTAAGGATCCTTCCCTGTACTCTTCAAAAGTGCCCTTTCAAGGAAACTGTCTTCCACCTGGCTCAGCAAATTCAAATGCTCCCTTCTGACAGGGCAGAGTCCTAGCTGGGTGCCCAGGAACACAGTGTGAAGTGGAGTTCAGGCTGCTAGAGAATGTGAGTTCATAAGGTGAGATGAGATCATGAATCATTCAAAGCCCCACCCTAAGCCTGGGAGACCTCTCCAGCCTCCGCTGCTCCAGCTCCCACTTACCTGAGCCTTCTCCCAACTAGACTCCGAAGCACAAATAATCTATCAGCCTAAGAACCGGGTCAGGCTCCTATCTACACAACCTCCTGCTATCCCACTAAGTAACCAAGTTGGGAATAGTGCCTCACAAAAGGAAGGACAAAAGGTCTTAGCAACTTGAGTCTGGAGATTTTTTTTAATTCTTTTTAGTTCAACATAAAATGAGAAAGAAAAAAATACTTCTGACATTTTCAGAGAACAGAAATAGGAAAGTATGTTCATATACATTCAACATATACTGCGCATATTGGTTACTACAATACAAAGCAATGAGTTTTTTTTAAAGTGTAGTTTGCAAGATGGCACGGTTAGTAGACTCACTGGCTTTCATCTGGTGTTGCTGGAGGGTGCAGTCTGCTCTCCCATACATACAGTACCATGTAAACAGATCAGGCTGAATGCGTGGTGGTGGTAGGGCAAGTCGGGGGCATAAGAGTTGGAACAAGCCCAGAGAAGTCAAACAACAGCTTTTAGGGCTTTCTTGGTAAGCCCCCTTCTGGTGAGTAGTTGGTGACCCCACCAAGTGGAGGGGAGACTGGGGACCATGGAAACACGGGACTGCTCCCAGGAAAAACTCTTGCACTGCAGAATTCCACTCAAGGGATATTGGGTCCAGGAGCTGAGCTGCCAGTATCAGTGGAGTCGGACATGGTGCATAGGGATCCCGCCAGCAACATCAGGATGGCCATGCTGGGCACCCGCTTTCCTCTGTGCAAATTCTGGACGAAAAACTAGGAGGGGATTCAGGAATCCTTGCTCTCCTTTCCCGGAAATAAAAAAGGATGGAGAGTCAGAGTATTCAAGGTCTCTCTCTTGTTTTGAAGATCAGAAGGAGATAACCCAGACCCTCTCTCAGCCCCAGCCAGCAGAGAAGACTTTGGTTTCTAACAATGAAGAGAAATAAAGATAACACAAACAATAGCTATTGCGTATGCACTGCTTCAACTGGGGAAAGGCGATCACTGCATCTGTCACTGGCACAAGTAAGAGCGGTTCACAATTACAATGCCTAAAGGAAATACTTTGAACAAAAGGTGCAAGTCACAATTCAAATAGAATTGAATCTGGTTAAACATTTCTCTTTTAAACAAAAATTCCTTTTGTCTTTATTTATTAATAATGATAACAATAATATCAACATTTACCAAAAACAATTTCTACATGATCAAGAATTAATACAGGGGCTGAGGGTGCCCAGTGGGGAGGAGGAGGTTAGGAGAGAGGCAGGGGCTGAGGCAACCTCCTACGCTTCTTGCCTGTGACAAAGAGGCTGAAAGGGGAGAGCATATATATATATTATATATTATATATATACACACATACATATATAATATATATGGAGAAACAATTCTTTTTATAGACAATATAAAATGAGAATGAAGGATGCCACAGAAAGCATAGTGCACTGCTGTTGGGTGTTTAGTCCATGGATAAAACCAGCAGGATGATCAAGGCAACCAACTTTCCAGGTTACAAGAGGGGAGCTGAGATATCCACCAAAAGCAAAGGCTCAAATTGAGACATTCTAACTGGCAAACCATCTGTGCCAGGTCATTCTCAGCCTCCGTGCTAAACTCTTCATATGATCTTGGCTGGGACAGACATGTTTTTCTGTGGATCCCAGCAGTAAAGACCTCTCTAGGTTCCAGGCTTGGGGGTTTCTCTTTGTTCTTTTTGTTCTGTAAGTGCTAGAAGCCGTCACCCTTCCTCTCTCCCTTTGCCTGCCATGAGGATTCCAGAGGATGGCATCCTCTAGTATTTGCTTTCACAGAAGAGCAATGCAGGGGGATGGAGGCTGATGAAGGCTAGGGAGGGAGTGGCCCTGAGGCCCCTGGCCTCTGATCTAACTGCTTTGCTCTCCTGTTTCAAAAAAGGGACAAAAGGAAAAAAAGAAAGAAAGAAAAAAGAAAGTAAATCACCTCCAGAAGAAAACATACCAAAAACAAAACAAAACACAAACCCCCAAACGAAACAACAAAACCACCAACTCAAATATACTTTCACAAAAGATGGAGAACATGGATTTCCTGTTTATTTCCTTGGTGACTTGGTCATACAAGCAAACATGGCAAAACCCTCTCAGAACCCAAAAGAACAGCACACGGATGAACCAAATGTGAGGAGAGGAGCTGTGATATTCTGGGTGCAGAGAAACACAAGGGCAATTTGGCGCAGCGCTGCTAGATACTGTGGGTTTTCAATCAACCTTTTCATTCCCAAGCTGTACACACAACCTACAATAAGGCAGACACAGAGGAGAATTAGTTTGAAAAGAGAAAGACTCAAATTTCCATTTAAAACTTAAAAAAAAACCAAAACTCAGAGGGCTCCCCTTCCCTCTGCGGCCTGCCACACTGAGGTGCTGATATGGATTTGCCCAGCAGCTTCCCTTCATCAGGTCTCTTCTGCCAAGGATTTTCCGGATACAACCAATGGTGCCTACTGTGTACTCTTTGCATTACTCCAGCCAAACGAGCTGATTTCCCCATTTTCTACCACGGGGCTCTCATCACACATTTCCCCAGTCCGGAATATCCTGCCACTTGCTTCTGTATGGCCTTAAAACAAATATGGCTAGACATGTTATCTTGCCAGGTTTTGTCTTTCAGGACTGAGCTTAAGGACTTCCTCCTTTCCTTATTATGTTGGCCAGAGGTCACCTCCATCCTTTGGAGCCATAGCTCACTTCTGTCTCTGTGAAGATGACAGCACCTAAAACACGAGGTGGGGCTTGTATCTTACTCCCATAACTGAATTGAGAGACTATGTCTAGCATTTCTTCTGCATACCCCCGCCCCTATCCCGTGCCCTAAAATTAGCAGGGTACTTAATGAAAAGCAGGAAACTGTGAAGCCACGAGGGGAGGCGTGGCATTATCGATTGCACTGGCCACCACAACACATGGGCTGAAGCTCCTGACGGGATCGGGAGCGGGCACTGGGCCACAGGGCTTGTTTGTCCCTGGCCAGGGTGACACTCACTCTCTGCTTCTTGTTACACGCCTGCCTGCTCCATGCTGAAGGAGACTTCGGGGTGCTTGTAGCTGAGCAGAATGTCTGTAATACAGGTAGATGGATAGCAAGAGGAGTTTAAATGCTGGCTGCCATCACTCAGGTCTGGGTGCTCATGACCTCCCAGGCTTGCCCCACATTCTGCAAGACCAAAAAGAATATATGAGGTTGGCAGGGAACTGAGGGGCTAAGAGCGCACGGGGGAGAGAGAGGAGGAATTGAAGGCAACCTGTCTGAGCATCCCAGAGCCTGACTCGCAGCCCTGAATTCCAGCTCACAGGCCCTCAAGGTGCTGAGTGATGATGGGTGGGGGCCAAGATTCTTCTTGTATTCTCCTCTGCCTGTTCCGTTTTTTCCCTTTTCCTTTACCCTTTCCCATCCTTAAGTAAGATCAACTACTGTAGTATGAGAGAAGATAGAGAACTCCTTCAGAAAGGATCGCCTCTTAAAGGCTGAAAGGGACAATAATTTTACTGCCTGCAGGTACCCGTTCCTGGGCACTGTCAGTGTTCTGACACTGTGCTAAGCACTTTATACTCACTAAGCCAGCCTGCCCTCACAGTACAACGTAGGATAAAGGCTCTATCACTTTTGCCCCTTAACAGATGAGGATCTCAGGGTCCAGAATAGCCAAGTCCCTCGCCTGCAGGGCCTGAAAAGGATAGCCCTGGGGCTGACGGCAGACCTGTGCCGCCCAGGATCTATGCCTGGTATTTGTTATGACACCCTCCCTTGACTGGCTCCAAGGAGAGGTAGAAATGTTCCATCAGGACCTGATGCCCTCTAAGCAGAGCCAGAAAGAGCTGTTGAAGGCATATCGTCACAAAGATCAGAAACAGGGATATGAGAGCCCTGTGCCATCTGGCTAGAAGCCACGCCTCCTTTACACACTGCACTCAGGGAAAGACTTGTGGGGAAAGGGGCTGTGTCCAGAACCTGTGGGATGCTGTGGCTCCACCTCCCCATGAGCTCTTCCTGCAGAAGAGGGGCACAGTCACAGAAGATGGAGGGAGGCCCCTCCAGGAACATCTCTGGAATGCCCCAGGCAGAAGGCTCCTCACCCTCATTTTCCCCATCCTGAAACTGCTGGCTGCCCATGAGCGACGACTGGCTGAGAACTGCATCCGACATCCGGGCAGAACTAAGTGCTTTCCCAGCCACGAGACTCATTCCTGGCAAGTTATCCAGCTGTACCTGCAGAAACAGTTAGGAGAAGACGTAAGCACACCAGAGACAGCACACTCTCAGGCAACAGACAGCCTGAGGCCCCGCTCCCAGACTCCTTCCTCTACAGCACCACCCAAAGGGGGCGCTCCATAGCAACAGCGTGGTTTCTCCCACAGGGTTGGGGAAGTGGGGTGGGGCGATTGTGGCAAATCTCAGTTGTGGTGACATCTTGACACTTACATGGCCTTCTAAAACCAGGTTTCTGACCTATCCCCATCACCACTGGGACTTTATCTTAGAACAGCACCATCTAGTCACACTCTGCAATGATGGAAATGTTCTCTGTCCTGTCCAACATGGTAACCACTAGCCACAGGTGGCTACAGAGCACTTTAAGTGTGACTGGTATGACTGAAGAACTGAATTGTTAATTGTTTTTCATTTTAATTGGTTTAGATTTGAATAGCCACATGTGGCTAGCTACTAGACTAGCGCCACTCTAGGAAAGCAAAACTTTGCTGAGGCCCACCAGCTCCCCTGATCAGTGTAGCTTACTATGTAGAAAAAGAACCAGAAGCCTATAGGCTCATTTGGGGCCGGAGTTTAGACTGAGAAGAGATTTAATAACCAAAACTATAGGGAACAGATGGCAACTATTTCTGATTCCATGGTCTAAAATTTGGAGCATAGATTCTACTGGAATTAAGGGTTAGTCTGTTAGGGTGACTCAAAGAAATGCTCTCAAGGCGGGCAGATCACTTGAGGCCAAAACTTAAGAGACCAGCCTGGCCAACATGGTGAAACCCCATAACTACTAAAAATACAAAAGTTAGCCAGGTGTGGTGGCAAGCACCTGTAGTCCCAGCTACTCAGGAGGCTGAGGCACAAGAATCACTTGAACTGGGGAGATGGAAGTTGCAGTGAGCTGAGATCACGCCACTGTTCTCCAGCTTGGGTGACAGAGTGAGACTCCATCTCAAAAAACAAACAAAAAGAAATGCTCCCGTTTCCAGAAAGGCTGGATGCTGAGTAAGGAGAGTGGCCAGGAGAGGCTACCCCGCATCACTATGCTCTGCTTCGAGGCTGGAAACAGATGGGAGGATCCACGTCTGCACAGCAGGAGGGACCAACATACATAAGCATCGTCGCTGTTCTGGATGGTATGGTGTCTCTGGAGGGCCCGGGGCCTGTGCTGCTCGTGGACGGAGGGGTGTGCTGGGTACCCGAGCCCGTTGTGATCCTGCAGCTCCACTGCTTGTCCTGGAGAACTTCTATCCATGCAGTTCCCTATGACAGGCTCTGAGGAGACACAGCAGAATAGAGTCAGTGGGGCTGAACTTCTTCCAGCACTGGAAACCCCCATCCAAGAAATGTCTTGCAAGGGACAATGGGCAAGGCTGAGGAGACCAAGTACCCTAAGCACTAATCCTCACTCAGTGGTCATGGCTTAGAGCCCACCACCAGCAAAGATAAGCTGCTACAGCAAAGATAAGCCTCTTTAGGAGGGGATCACACCCTTAGGGAAAAAAATCCCACGTGGAGGCATGGCTGGACCCCACTGAACCTTCTCTTCTTTCATTTCTCTGTTAATCGATTTAATTCAATCGATTAACAATGATCGATTCCCAAATATAGATGCACATGAGAATTACTCTCATGAAATTCTTTTGCTTTCAGGAACCTCTAGCCTGGGAGGATGTGTCTGTTCTGTGGCTGCCTGCTCTCTCCTCCCCCGGTGACCTCAGTGTACCACACTGCTCCTCTCCTTTCTACTTCTCTAACTGCTGCTTCTGACTCCTTCGATGGCACCTCCACCCTTTCTAAGCAAGCACTCTCCACATTTTTGTCCTTGACCTTCTGTTTCCCCACACTTACTTTGGCAACATTATCTATTTTCATGGCTGTACTGCCTTTATGTAAAGAATTACTGAAGTGCTCTTTTAAACCCCAGATCCGTATTTCCAGCTACTTACTAGGTATCGTTCCCTGGATATCCAACCAGCATGTAACACTTACATGTCCAATTCCAGACCCATCAACTGCCCCTATAACCTGTTACTCCTTCACACATTGTTGTTTTGATGTCTAATTTTCTGAATCTTCCAGACATAAGCACTTAGGGCCACTATTGATCCCTTACTCCTGATGCCACAACAGCTTGAAGTCTAATCAATCTACCTCTGCCAGCTGGTCACTTGAGTCCCTCTGTTTCCAATCTCATGGAAACCCGATTACATCTTGCCTGGATTATTATACTAGCCTCATAACCATCCCCTACTACTACCGTACGAAGACCGATCGTTCTGTAGTTCATTCACTTTCATTTTTACAACATTGCCCAGCTATCTTCCAAGCGGTGTCTCACACTCCCCTCTCCTACACATTCTAAGCTCTAGTCAAATGGGACCACTTAACTGTCCCCATCTATGCACAATTCTATGCATTTGCTCTCACTGTTCCTTCAATCTGCAAATAACTGATTTCTTCTGCCTCCATTCCTGCCAATCCAAATCAACTCATCATTCTAAGTCCGTATCAAATGCTACTGTCTTGATTAAACTTTTCTTTTCAAACAGAAATAGATCATCTCTACCTTTAAACTTCAAAAGACTTTGTCTCTGATTACTTTAACATTATCCTTGTTACCATGTTCAATTAGTACTTAAACATTCACATTAGACTACAAATCTTTGCAGGCAAGAACTGTATCTCATGTACATCTGTGAAGCTTCAGTCTTCTAGAACATTGTCCTATACTCAGTATTATGATCTCTTTAACTGATGTCAGTGAATTCTCTTTAGGCTGCGCATGATGGTTCATACCCATAATCCCAGGACTTTGGGAGGCTGAGGCGGGTGGAGCACCTGAGGTCAGGAGTTTCAGACTGGCCTGGCCAACGTGGTGAAACCCCACCTTTACTAAAAATACAGAAATTAGCTGGATGTGGTGGTGTATGTCTGTGGTCCCAGCTACTCGGGAGGCTGAGGCAAGAGAATTGCCTGAACTTAGGAAGCAGAGATTACAGTGAGCCAAGACCATGCCACTGCACTCCAGCCTGGGCAAGAGAGTGAGACTCTGTCTCAAAAAAGAATAATAAAAATAAATGCTCTCTTAATATGGGTTACTATCCTGTCAGAGCATGCAACTCTATGGACTAGAAATTCGGAAGAAAGAGGAATGAGTATTTGTTATCAACGATCGACAAGAAGACTATCAAAGCCACACCTACGTTGACAGGATCCTCCTAGTTGTACTTTTGGCTTCAGTCTCTAAGAGCCTGGGTACCCGAACGTAAGTTTTGTTTGTTTGGTTTTCTGAATTAAAGCTTCTTGGAAACTACTGAGCTTATCTAGGATGAACTGACTGTTGGTGGGACAAAGCTAAAAAAAAAACCTCTTCATAGCAAACACAGCTCTAATGCTAACTGCGTCATTCCAATTATCTATTTGAATAATGAAAGTAAAACATTCTTCTTGAGTGTTGGGTAAGGGATTTCAGGTCTCTGTGTTTAAAAGGTTTTCTACAATGATTAAGGTTAGGCTTGGACTTAGGGGCAGAGGCAGGATGGAAAGGGAGGGGAGCTAACTGACACGTACAATGCTAGTAATGCAAGACATTCTGGAGGAAAATGAGCAGGAGGGAGCTTCCCAACTACCAACTAAAGATGATGGCAAGTGAGAAATCTTTTGACAGTTCTCTGAGCAAAGAGGTAAAAGGAAAAGCCAGCAGCCAACTATTTTGCTACAGAAAGCTAAAAGCCAGTGGAGAGAAGATAAAAGAAAGCCTACACCAGAACTTGTTCTGTGGAATTAGCCCGCCCACTGTACCTACTCAACGCATTCCCCTCCTTGGCCAGCTCGCATGGTGGCACCAGGGCCAACCAAAAACCACTGGCAGGAAGTGGTGCAACACAGCTGTGTGGGAGCAAGGAAATGTTGATTCTGTCTCCTTTGCCAAGAAGCAATGAGAGCAGCCGCTTCTTACTTTTTCAAAAACCTATACTGTCTTCTTTGATAGCTAACATCATCCACTCCACTCCTTTGGTGCTTTTCTCCTTTAAGCCTGATCACATATTGGATGCAAACCTCATCAGTTGCACCTCTTTGCTCTCCGCAAGGACAAACCTGAACGCTCTCCTGTTTAAAGATTTTAAAAGATCATTACTAACCATGAGGAAATGGCAAAGCTAACAAAATGTACACAGTCCTGGCTGGAGCCTTCCCGCCTCTTCCGGAGGCCTCAGAGTTGTTTGTTTGCCGTGTCTCTTAAGGCTCTTCCCCCGACCCCCCTCAGAACTTGTTTTTATTCCTGAGAATGGGGCCTCTGCAAACCAAAACACCCACCCTCCTCTGGGCTCTGCCTTGTCTGCTCTCTTCCCGACTTCAGGTTTGATGTCTGTAGGCACCAAGACAGAGCAAGTGACAGCCTGACAAATCATGTGAGGGGCCTTCCTGACTCCCAGCCCAGAGCTCATCCTTCAGCCAAGCTGCAGTTAAAAGCAAGGGCCATGAGCACAAGCTCTGGGGTCAGGAATCCTGGCTTTGCTGCTTCCTGGGGAGCGGAAACTTGGGCGAGTTATCCCGCTTTGCTAGGGCTTACTTATCTGTACAAGAGGACTGACACCATGGGTGTGGAGTGCTTCATAGAGGTTACCACACTGTAAAAGCTCAATAAAGTCTGGCATGATTTATATTCAGTTTAGAGATGTTATTTCTGAGTGCATAAGGGCATACTGAGTCAGCTGACAAACAAGGAAATTGATTTAATCACAGAACCCTGCTTGCAGAATTACGAGGGACAATTTACCCATACGTAAATGAACAAATGACTCAGGGAAACTTTAACTTCCAGAAGAAGCCTCTGATTCAGGACAGATGAATGTGAGTTAAAAACCAGATAAAAGAGTATTAATAGGAGTCAGGGAATAAACCAGGGCTCTGTCTGCTCAAGTTTCAGTATAATCAGTAGGTCAAAGACCTGGAAGGCTAGTATCTTTCATTTGGTAGCTGTGCTTGGAAGGTGCAGAGTGGGCAAGGAGGCGTAAAGGGAAAAATATATGATTAGGGAATCAGAAAACTAGTCAGGACCTAGCTCCTTCACCAGCAAAGTACACAAATGTTGGCAAATCTTTTAGCTTCTCCTCAAGGTTCCTGATCTGAAAAATGAGAGTTGTTTGGGGGCTCAAAAAGACAACACATGTAAAGGAGTCTTTAATCAATTGTAAAGGACAAGGTGAGTCAAGTCTGATTTTTGGTAAGAATGCTGACCCTGAGTCTAGAAGTCCTTTGTGACACTCTATAAATGAGTGACTGACCACCCCCACTGACCACTTGGGGGTGATAAATATTCCCAAGAGCTACATGCTCAAATATTTATCAAACTAAAGCTAAGAGAATGCAGAAGATGCTGGAGAGGATGTGAAGAAACAGGAACGCTTTTACACTGTTGGTGGGAGTGTAAATTAGTGCAACCATTGTGGAAGACAGTGTGGTGATTCCACAAGGATCTAGAAATAGAAATACCATTTGACCCAGCAATCCCATTACTGGGTATATACCCAAAGGATTATAAATTGTTCTATTATAATAGAACACATGCACACGTATGTTTATTGCAGCACCATTTACAATAGCAAAGACCTGGAACCAACCCAAATGCCCATCAAGGATAGACTGGAAAAAGAAAATGGGGCACATATACACCATGGAATACTATGTAGCCATAAAAAAGGATGAGTTCACGTCCTTTTCAGGGACATGAATGAATCTGGAATCCATCATTCTCAGCAAACTGACACAGGAACAGAAAACCAAACACCGCTTGTTCCCATTCATAAGTGGGAGCTGAACAATGAGAACACATGGACACAGGGAGGGGAGCCTCACACACTGGGGTCTGTTGTGGGGTGGGGAGGTTGGGGAGGGATAGCATTGGAAGAAATACCTAATGTAGGTGACAGGGAGATGGAGGCAGCAAACCACCATGGCCATGTGTATACTTAAGTAACAAACCTGCAAGATCTGCACATGTACCCCAGGACTTAAAGTATAATTAAAAAAAAAGAGAGAGAGAGACAGAGAGAGAATGCAGAGGTGGGATGACTGTCCAATCACACAAGGGGAAAAATGCACAAACGGACACAATGCACACACCACCTGCCCGGGGAACTCTGGGCAACTTGCACAATTCTCTATCAAATCTGTCAATGTTGACTCGTCCTTACTCACTTACTAGGTTTTAAGACAAAATGGGAGCAATGACGTGCTTGCATACTCCTCTTAAAGGCTCTGGGGTAACCTCTCCCAGTCTGTCAGCATTTTACTGCTCTATGAGGCCTGAGTAATAATGCTGAGGCTGACTGAGCTCAGAGAAGAGGATGTGGTTTTCTTTGTGAGCTCCAGTTGGTAGTCTCACTGTGTAGACTGGTTATACTGCTGTATTTATTTGCAAAGTCAAAAAAAAATCAAGTGTTATGTAACACTATAGAAGAAAGACCTTATTTTTACCTCTAGGGTGGCAGACAGGGAGATTACAGGCAGCATGGGGCATGTGAAGTCCTGATACTTCTTTTTTTTTTAAGACAGATTTTTGCTCTTGTTGCCCAGGCTGGAGTGCAATGGCGCGATCTCTGTTCACCGCAACCTCCGCCTCCCAGGTTCAAGTGATTCTCCTGCCTGCCTCAGCCTCCTGAGTAGCTGGGATTACAGACATGCGCCACCAAACCCGGCTAATTTTATATTTTTAGTAGAGATGGGGTTTCTCCATGTTGGTCAGGCTGATCTCGAATTCCCAACTCAGGTGATTTGCCCGCCTCAGCCTCCCAAAGTGTTGGGATTACAGGCGTGAGCCACTGTACCTGGCCGTGAAGTCCTGACACTTCTACAAATTTGAAACAGACCTTTGGCATGCTGCCTGCTCAGTGCTCACACTGCCTGGTCTCATATTGGCTTGGCTGGTGGCAAACAGCCATCAGGGATATAGGTAACCATGGACACTGATATGATGGCATCTAACTTTCCTTTACTAATACCAACATGGCTGGGTGTGGTGGCTGGTGCCTGTAATTTCAGCACTTTGGGAGGCCAAGGAGGGAGGACTGTTTGAGCCCAGGAGTTCAAGGGCAGCCCCGGCAGCAGAGCAAGACCCCATTTCTACCAAAAATAAAAAAAATAAAAAAAATAAAAAATAGCTGAGTGTAGTGGCACGTGCCTGTAGTCCCAGCTGCTAGGGAGGTTGAGGTGGGAAGACTGCTTGAGCCCAGGAGGTCGAGGCTGCAGGGAACCGTGGTTGCACCACTGCACTCTAGCCTAGGTGACAGAGCAAGACCCTGGCTCAAAAAGTAAACTAAATAGCACCAATAATCCCTGCTCATCTACCTTTAAGAAATACTAAGAAGATCACACTAGCTCTGCTCTTCTTAATGATACTTCTTGTAGCACTCAGTACCTAGGACTTCATAGCAAAGCTGTTTATGAGCTTGTTTTACATCCCCCAGTAGAGTAGAAGCTCCCTGAGGACAGGTTCTTTAAACTTTCACCCCTGCATTCCCATAGCACCTACAGTATAGTCTTGTGCAACACGGTTGTTCTATATGTGTTGAAGTTGCTCTTTCACAGGAATAATAGCTGAAGTGTTTGGGACTAGTGCCTACCTACACGGAGATAGAGGGACCATTAGAAGAAACAGCAGGCATTCCTTCCTGGCCAACAAGGTTGAGAAGTGAGCTCCCCCACTTGCCTGCAGGGTGGTAGGGGCACAGCATTATCTTTCCTGACAAAAATGACAGCAAATTATCTGATGATTTTTCGGTAAAGTTAAAATGTAAGCTTTCAAGTTTTTAAAAGAAACTTGACAGCCAGGCATGGTGGCTCATGCCTATAATCCCAGCACTTTGGGAAGCTGAGGTGGGTGGATCACTTGAGGTCAGGAGTTTGAGACCAGCCTGGCCAACATGGTAAAACCCCATCTC